TTATATTATTATGTTTGTCGCTTCGGGTCTAACATTTGATACAACCCAAATACTCATAACAAATTTGCACCATTTTTTGGGACATGGCAATCAATGAATGCAAGAAGAAGTAACGCCGTGAACCGCAGTTGTATATCAGACTTTTTTGGTTGGATTATTGATTCTGATGTTTCTAAAGGAAATCAAATTCACTGTTATGCTTTAACTGCACCAATCTGGAAACTGCACTATCTAAAGAGATGGTGGACGATCAATCTCTTCGAAAAAGCAATGCTTTGGTGCTGTTACATTTTGGACATGTTTCATCCTCGTGGAAAAGCTAGCCATGTGGATTGATGATATTGTTCCTTGACTTTCTTGTCCACAATTTTCTTTTTTATTATGAGGATATAATAAATGACACTTCTGATCAACAGTATCCTGGCCTGCATTTTATTTCTTCCTTTCACTTTAGTTCGGACAGTGATCTTTCAACAATAGTGGTGTTAGTTTGACATGTCTGATTGAATTTGGATACTATATATCTCTCTCTCAAGCTAATTGATAAGCTATGAAGGGTTTTACAATAAAGCACATGAGATCTATAGGAACAAGTGGGTGGCCATTGCATTTTATTACAAATAAAGCTCGAATATAATGCACAATTATTGTCGGCAAGCTCATGAAACGAGTAACACATGGAAATTAACATTGTCATTCGAATTAACCACACAATGTGTTTACCCTTTAGGTAGGAATCTCAGTTTTGAATACATTGGTCTCCACTGTTGACCTTGCTAACGTGAGATTTTGGAGGGAAGTAACATCTGCAAGTAAAATAAACATATTTTTTTCGTTATTTGATTGCAGATAAATTGCAAACTCTTCTGTATATGGAATTTACTTTATTACAAAGATTCAAATTATTTGGAATTTATGTTATTTATGTTGATTAATTTTACCATATATGTTTACGACTTTGGAATAAGTCAATTAAGTATATAATTGATGACAAATAATTGTTTGTTTGTTCCTTAAATTCTTTAAAGTTTGCTTGAACCTTATGTTTTGTTATAAAAAAAAATACCCTCCAACCCCTGTTCTTTTGGACAAGATGTAGCTAATTAACTCAGGTTCTTTTCCCAAACCTAAATGCTTAACCTACCATAAGTCTCCCGAAGACAAACTCTTCTTCATACATGGTTTGTGATGAGATAAAAGAAGAAAATGAAATTTCTTTCAATAATCAACTCAAAAAGATAATTGGCCTTGCGATTGTGGGGACCGCCAGACTTTTCCTGCAAGAGGGACTGTGAGTGCAATTATCAAGGCAAAATGTAGCGGTCATAAACTGTAGTTGCATATGAATTTAAGTTGGGGAAGCAATATTCCATTAATGCTGTTAGGATGTTGGGTAGTGATAACACTTAATCCTAATTTTCATATGATATGACAAGACGGATCAAGAAAAGAGTGGAGAGGTCGAGCATTAATCAACTTTATCATTTTTTTGGAGAACCCCTAAAATTAATTTACACCTTTGAGTAATGCAAAGCTAATAAGATTCGTCTGATAACAGTATCATTCTGCAACTTATAGTCCAACTTGAAATGAAGAAACTTTAAATAAAAGTTTTTAGATAAAATTCATGAATTTTATTTAATATAAATGATTCAATTAAAATTTTAATAAAAATTTTAAATTGGTACATTAATAGAATTTAATGAGAAGATTAAGAATATGTAAAAGAAATTATTGAAATTTTATTTATAATTTAAATTTGATTATTTCTTATTCAATGGTAAAAATTTTATTAAAATTTTTATTAAAAGTAATTATTCAAAAAATATATCAAAATTATTAAAATCTTTTCAAATTATGCAATTTTATTTGTAAAACAAAATCTTTTTATTTCTTGATTTTAATTTTTTTATTTTAATTTTTATTTAATTATTTTTAATTAAAATTTTCACTAATTTTACCTATAAAATTTTATTTACATCTTTTCGACTTAAAATGCCTTAACAACCGGTAATGATTTGAACAAAGAAATTCGTGGACGATCCAAAACCAAAAGTAGGATAGCTTGAAATGTACCTTTATCGCTGTCTTTTCATGCAAGCAATTTGGCTAGCATATGGGACAATGTAGCGAGCCAACATTAATATTAGTTTGACCTATATATCATTGACTTACCGAAGATAACTGTAGACGTGAGGAAGTGACAGAGCTACATTTCCTATGGGATTTTTTTTGTGCCTTTTTGCATGTTACTTACCACAACCACAGAGATGGGAGAGGCAAAGAATCCAGCAAAGGTGGAGAGCACATTAATAGAGGAGTTGAGAATGTAAACATAGCCTAACAGCTTGTATCAACGGTCTTTTCATTAATGGAGATCATTTATGGATGACCCAAGCTTCCAATAAAAATAGTAGGAAGATAATTGTGAGGAGAATGCTTGTATATATGTTTCATTCCATTGTTTAGATGCTGATCTAAAATGTGAAATACATATATGGGTGGGTTTACTCACAAATAAGAAAAACAAAAGTTGACATTGAATTCAGAACATAATAGTATAGTACATATATATTCCTTGTTATCCGCCGGCCGGGGGGATGGAAATGTACAAAGGCAGAGAAAGCCAAAGAGAATGAGGTCTAGAAAATTGAAGGTCAGGATTTTTGAGGAAATGGGGTCCAAAAGCAAGTAAAACAAATCTAGAAAGAGAGGTGAATAAGCATCGTGTCCGCTTAGATAATCAAATCAGGCATCATTATGTTTAGGTTCTTAATGTAGCGGCCTATTTGTCCCTGCTCAGAGACCATGAATTTGATGCATTGTCTTTTGTAAATATCATGAATGTCAGAATCAGCTCCTCTTTTCCCTTACTGTTCAAACGATATTATCCTATTGGAAGATATGTATTTTTGGAAAATTTGGAGCACAGAATAGTTGTATGCATTGTCTTTCGCTATAACGTTGTGGATTTTATGGTAGCTGCGTAATTAAGCTAAGGTTGGTGAAAACGAATGGCAGGCAAAACTCCGCCATTAAGGGAAAACTTTGACAAAACTACTGTTTGAGACGCAATTCTGTTTAAGATAGTTGGAAATGGCAATAATAATTAAGTTGAAAGGAGGATACAAATAACATTGTTTGATCTGACATTCCAATCTTGCACAAAACCAATCAAGAGTGCCATTTGTGAAAGAGCACATCCTGTTTTTTGTTTCTCTCTTTAAGAAAACAAAACAAAACAAAAGAGCACATTTACAGAGCCAAAAGCTTTTACTATGGAAAATGATTACTGCTTGGTTTGGGCTCGTATATCATCCATTACAAGGCCAACTGGATGCATTGGACTTCTCATGTAGCCTGAAACTATTTCCCTTTTCCTTTTTTAACCAAGAGGTCTCAAAGAGATAAATAGTGCGGTAAGTAATATTTCAATTTGAAAAGGACAAATTTGACAGAAGGGAAACCATTGTAAAGGGAATAGGATAAGAGATTAGAAAAATTAGGGTGGCGATTGAGTGCGTTCGGCGGCTTAGATTAGTTTGTCTTTGCGTTGTGAGTTGTATTTCAGGTTTAAATTATTTTGAATTCAGATAATTTTAGGTTTAAATAATTTGACATTAGAATTATTTGAAATTTGAATTATTTCAAATTTAAATTACTTTAAATTTGATCATTCTTGATTTTATTGGTTAATTAGAATTAGTATCTTTTTAGGCTACAAAATCAAGTTTTAAGGGTTTGGGGTGCTACGGGGTTTGGGTTATTTCGAATTGAGACAGCTTTAAATTCAATTTTTCCAAAATTGGATCTTTGACCTTTTTTTTTTTTTTAATTTTCATGGATCCGAATTGGATCGGATAGAATAGGTCTAGGAATGTTTTTAGAATTAGGTTTGTTGCCTCTAAAACAAACATGACTCAATATACACGACAGATCCTTTTGGGCCGAAAATATTCTCTACAGGATAGATAAGATTGGAGAGAAGATAACAAGAGGATGATTCTTGGGCTCCCAACTGGGCTTGAACAATAATGGTGCGAGCTACCCAAACTTCAGGCAAAGCTTAACCAATATCCCGCATAGCCCACAATATATATGGCCTAGCTTAGATGGGAATGCCTCACATTTACTAGCACTGACTTCCAAATGATATTCACAAGCTCAATCAAGAGATAATACTTATGGTAAGATATACCACTGCTTTTGTGCAATCTACATCTACTTTTTGAAAAGCTCGAGCTCTATGTGAAAGTTAAATGACAAACCTCTTATGAATTTATTTCATATTTAATTATACATATACCCTATTCATCCAGTACTGAAAAATCTAGGTATCTAACTTACAAGTATTTTTGTTTACAAATCATTATTTGATGACACATGTTCTTTTTTAAGATAATAAAGAAATTACATAATTTGTTATAAGTATTTGTCACATGTCATTGACAAAAGGTAAAATTAAAAGAAATGAAAATGGATGAAAAAGGCATTGAGATTATAAATGTTGAAAGTGTAAATGATATATTAATACTCATAAGTTATTCAGATTTGATTCGAATAAAATTTAAATTCGATTTGTTTATTATCAAATCGAATTCGAATAACTTAATTTGTCGATCAAGTCAAATTCAAATATTTTTATACCAAATTTAAATTATTTGCAAGCTTAATTGAGTTTTATATTTTAAAATATTTTAATTGGTAAAATATTTTGAATTTAAATCTAAGTTTGAACATAAATAATAAAACTTTTGTCAAATATATAATCAAACTTATTTTTACATGTTAATCGAATTTAATTGAGTGAGTTCGAGTAATTAAATTTTTATATCGAGTCAAATTCAAATTAAAATATAAAATTTGATCAAATTTAAATAAAATTTTAAATCTCAAATTTAAAATCGAACTCAAACTTAAATATAATATTATATTAATTGAAACTCGATTATATCTTTAGTAAACGTTAAAGTAATTAAAAAAAAAAAAAAAAGAAAAGAAGGGAGAAGGGAAGGGGAAAACGGATACGGATGAAGGAACAACAAAGAAAATAATAAATTAAGAGGCACAGAAAATAGGAAAGGAGTGAGAATTAATTTAATCGGAAGAGTAGAACATGAAGGAGTATGAAGGGGGTATAAGATGGAAGCAGGAATCTGTGGCAGCAGAGGAGATCAAACAACGTGAGATTTTAAGGGAAAAGGGAAAAAAAAAAAAAAAAGAGGAAGAAAGGAGATCTCATGTGATTTGGACCTCCTTTATCAGATTCAGATCAAAATCTCTATCGCAAGCCAACGAAGGGAGAAGAATGGAAGGAAAGGATCATCGATGATAAGGAGAAATGAAAGCCAAGCCAACGTTAAGATGGTTGTTTTATAAATTTTTTCTTAATTTTACTTTTTCTGAATTTCTTTTGTTGATTTTGTCATTTTTTTTTTCTTTGTCAGAAAGTTGAAGTAAGCTGACGGAGGGATGTCAAGGGTCAGATTTGATCCCGTTGTCAGAGTATCCAGCTGTCGGGTAAGAGATTAAACTTCAAGTCGAGAGTTGAAAGACAGGCCATTTCAGAAACCCTTTATTTTGGTGCGCATCTTTCCTCCTTTCTTTATTTCTTTTATGTATAAATAATACTATTAGTTTTTCCTTTTTTCCAAAGTAAATATCTAACCGTTAGCTTTGCGAACATGTTACATAGAGGCAATCTTATTTCGTATCTGTCTGCATAATCCTCAACCTATAACTTATTTCATTTATTTTGTTTTTATTTTTTTTATTTAATTGCTTATAAAATAAGTAATACTACTAATATAAGAGTAAAAGGTGTGGGAATCTGTCCTGCACATTTTTGCTCAAGATGAATCATGAAACATAGTTATGGGTCAGAAATTTATTCTGATGAAACATAATTTCTTTTCTGTATAAATAATTGTGCAAATTGTCCAAGTCCCTCCCTCTTTCTTTTTGTTGTTGTTAATTACTTACCCATTGTAGGAGTATCCCATTGCTGGCCAAAAAATTAAACTAAAGTTGTTTAAAGTAATTGTAATTTTGCCACATAAACTCAATCAAAAAACAATATAGAAAACTAGCATTGATTTTGCACCCTGATAAGAACCCATAGTTATGATGTGAAGAAGCATTTAATCTTGTGGGTGAAGGGTTTTTATTATAAAATGAGGCAAGAGTATAACATGAAGTTTAGGATTAGGATTCAAGAGGAAAGGATGGATGGGTTAGGAATGGCATGGTAGTAGGAAATTGAGTAGAAATCTTAAGTTTAATACTTTATAAAAAATCTCATGCCTATTGGCTAATGGCTCAGCTTTCATGATGCCCTATGTTTTTCATAATAATTTCATAAAAATCATAAAATAATTTAGGCATTTAGATTATGATCTCAATAGAAAAAGACAGTTGAAAAGTATGGATATGAGAAAATTATTTGGGATTAAAAAGAAAAAAAAAAAAAGGGTAAGCAAACTTTTTAGGATTATAATAGGAGGTGGTTAAAACATTTACAATGAAATTTTTGCCAGTTAAAAAGAAAAAAAAAAGGGTAAGCAGAGATTTGAGGATTATAATAGCAAGTGCTTAAAACATTTGCAATAAGATTTTTGTCAGTTACAATGAGATTCTAATTTTATAGGTTGCATAATAACAGGTCATTTAAAAAAAATAGAAGAAATTATACTGAAATTTTTGGCATAAAAAAAGTTACTTGCGACCTTGGAAGAAGTGACAATCTTTTGATGAAATGGGCAAACTCCAGGGTTGAGATTAGAAAAGTTTAAGGGAAGCAAACTTTTTAGTATTCTCTTTGGCTAATTTAGGTGTTAGCAAGATTGATATGTTTTATTTCTTTTTTTGATTGAATTTGTTTTTTATAGATTATGTCTTGATTTAACTACAAATGTATAACTCTTAGGAATCATATTTTGGGTGAGAAAAAATTGTTTATCATTTTGATGTTGCGAAGAAACTGAATGCAAATAATTGGACCTATTTTATTTAGCAAGATAGTATATGGATTCTTTAATTGGGATTTATATCTTTTGTTTTCAGTTATATATCAAAATTATTATTGTTTGCTTAAATTATCTTTTGAATATATTTTTTGTGTTTTAAATTTTGAATTTAACTCTATATTTAATATATTAATATTTCATTACATAAATTCTTTTATAGTTAATAATTGTGTTTTTAATATTGAATTAAATGGATGCATACTTTAAAATTTTTAACAACTCCGAAGCGCAGATTGATTTTCTAGTTTATTTTGAAATGCATGCTTGCTTCCTAATTTTAAACTTTTTACTCTGCATAAATTTCCACTAATGTGTTCGATAACAATACAAAATATAGAGAAGTTTTGGTTGATTGACAGACCTAATGAACTTCCTTCGAATTTTCTTATTTGGTAAAGGTGATATTTAACTTCAACCATCTATTACGTCATCCAATTAAGAGTTTTGTGAGGGAATGAAAATTTTAATTAAGGATTTGCTAATCTTATAAATATTGGAAGTTGGCTTAAGGATCTATCGCATTATATTTTGCTAAGGTAGCGTTTGCTATATTTTGTAAAATCATTAATATAATGTAATCACCTATGTAATCGTATTATTTTAGTAATCTTATGTGATTTGAAATTACTTTTTTTTTGTAGGTATTAATTCTTAAAAATTAAACATCACTATATTTATTATTACTAAAAATCAAACATTATTTTATTTAAAAGTATAAAAATAACCATGGATTTTGTAATACTTACACAAGTTAATGATTTTTTAATATTGTTTTAAAGATAATAATTTATAATAATCTATAAAATATTAGTGAATTTTATTTATTATATAATAAAATATAAAGAAATTATGAAATTAATAAATATATTTGTTGATGGATAAACTAATTTTTATAATATAAATTATGTAAAAAAATTTTGAATTAGAAGATAAAAAAAATCTATTAAATTTATAATAAGAGAAAAATAAAAAATTCAAAAATTATTTTTGAATTTTTTACCTTAAATATTAGTATGAAAATATAAAAATTTATAATATAAATAATTATAATTTTAAAAGGCAGTAAGATTTTAATTCATATATTAAATAAATAATATTAATTATTGTTAATTGTACATATTTCTTTGTTTCGATGATAACAGTTTTTCACTCTTTTAGATAAGAATTATGTCACTCTCTAAAATAATATTCTAATCACTTTCGGTAATTTAAGATTACGACCATATAGGATAACCAAGTGCATATTAAACATAATAATTTAATTGTTATATGTAAATCACAACAACAACAAAAACACATTAAGCCTTATATCTTATATTCTGAGGTTGGTTGTATAAAAAACCAAATAAGAGAATCAAATTACTTTGTAGTTTGAATCTTTTAATGCCACTCATTTCTATCAACAATCATTTTTTCATCTAATTTATTAACCATCATATCATTTTTTATTACTTGCATTCATATTTTTTGTAGTCTACCTTTAAATGTTTTGATCTTTTATAGATCTAGAGATTCGATTCTCCTAATCGGTGCACAGCTAAGCCTACTTTTCACATGTCTAAACCATCACAAATGACTCTTTTTCATATTCTCTTCAATTCGTACTACCCTTATTTTTTTCAAATCTCTTCATTTATAATTTTAATTCTTATAGTCTTACAACACATCCATTTGGGCATCTTCATCTCTGCTATATTTATTTTCTTCTTATGTTGTTTTTTAACAATCCAACACTCAGTTTCATATAATAATGTAAGCCTTATAATTGTTTTATACAACTTCACTTTTAACTTTAAAAGGTATATTACGATCACACAACACACCCGATGTACTTTGTCACCTCATCCATCCTACTTAAATCCTATGTTTGACATTTGTTTCCACCTCAGTTTCATTCTAAATAATTGATCCCAAATCTCAAAATTAGCTATTGTTCAGTCTTTTCTCATCATCCCATTAATCACACTAATACCCACTTCTTTATGATTATTAAACTTGCATTCCATATATTCAGTTTAAGATCTATTCAATTTAAAACCTAGAGACTCTAAGGTACTACTCCATGATTTTAATTTTGCATTAAGGGCATCACAAGTTTTCGCAATTAAGACAATATTGTCGATAAATAATATACAACATGGCACCTTATCTTGGATACATTCAGTGAGCCTATCCATAACTAATGTAAAAAGAAAATGACTTTGTTCTAATCGTTGATAAAATCCTAAGGTAATAAGAAAGCTATTTGTCATGCCCTAAACGTCATCACATTTGTTACCACTCTTTTATACATATATTTAACTATGTTGATGTATTTTAAAGGGATTCATTTCTTTATTAAAACCCACCTCAAAGAACTTTATCGTATGTTTTCTCCAAGTTAATAAATGCCTTATGTAGATTTTTCTTTCTCACTTGAAAGCCCTCTAATAAAAGCCTCAAAAGGTGGATCGCCTCTATTGTGAAGCATCTTAGTATAAACCAAAATTGGATTTCGAAAATAGTGACTTCACGTCGTAACCTACATTCAATTACTCTCTAAAAAAGTTTCATAGAATGACTTATAAGTTTTATTTCTCAATAGTGTGAACAATCTTGTATATCACCTTTATTATTGTATAAAAGGCATAAGGGTATTCTTCCTCCATTCTTTTGGTATCTTTTAGGTACGTCAAATTTTATTGAAAAAATCTGTTAGTCATTTTCATACTTCAATTGGGATTCCATATGCTCTTACAGCTTTTTGTAATCTCATCTTTCTCAAAGCCTCTTTAACCACATAGTTTTTAATATTACGTTTAAACACATGATTTACATTTTGAGAGGGTATGTTTAATACACCTATATCATGTTTAAAATTGCTATTAAAGAGATTATCAAAATAATCCCTCAATCTCTTTTTAATCTCCTCCTCTTTCACTAAAACTCTTTTTTCATTGCCTTTGATACATCTAACATCATTAAGATCTCAACTCTTTTTATCTCTTATCTTAGCAATTTTGAACAGTTCTTTTTCTCCAACTAATTTCTAGTTTTCTATATAACTCATCATGGATCCTACTATTTGAGTCCCGAATAGCCCTCTTGGTTTCCTTTTTTGCTATATTATACTTTCGATAACTCTGCTCATCTTTATTATTCTATAAATTTTTATAATACTCCTGTTTAGCTTTAATTGCCTTTTTCACATCCCTTTTCTACCATCAAGATTCTTTTCTTAATGATGCCTTACTCTTAGATTCCCCATGTGTCTTTTTAGCAACTTTTTGAATTTTGACTGTAATATTTTTTTCACATTACTTCTACATCCTTATCAAGTTTCTAATCAATTTTTTTTTACTAGTCTATCCCTCTTCGTTGTCATTTTGTCCCCCTTCAAGTTTCACCACTTAATACATGATTCATGACTCTAACATCTATTCTTTGACCCCTTGTGAATAGATCGAGTATTAATAGTCTATGTTGTGTGGTCTCATTTTCACATGGTACAACCTATACAATCCTTATAAATACTTCTATCTTCTTTCCTCGTAAAAAAGAAATAAATTTGACTAGCATTTGATCCACTCATAAATGTCACCAAGTGTAACTTGCTTTTCTTAAAACACGTGTTTAATATCATTAGGTCAAACGCAGTAGCAAATTCTAGGATAGTCTCTTTGATTTCGTTTCTTTCTCCAAAGCTATATCTCCTATGTACCCTCTCAAAGTCATTACCATATGTGTTTACATGACCATTTATGTTTTCTCCAATAAACAACTTTTCTTCATATGGTGCAACTCATTATATGTAAATCACTATAATTTTAAAATAATCACTTTATACCAAAATATTTGTAGATGGACAGTATAACGTCAAACTATACCCCAATTAACTTTTTTTCATTGCAAGCGAAAGAGGGGATCGACTTGCCGTCCATCTAAACATAACCCAAATATTAATGTTTCTAGACATCAAAACTGAGGATAGGCATAACCTGCTTTTTTTTCTTCGACAATTACCCTTCCATTTTTCCCCAAGCTAGTAGTAGTAGCATTTCAAAGATCGTGACATCAATAGAAAAAAAAAAACACGCACACATGTGGGTGGTTTCCAATATTTTTCAAACTTGTACTAATCTAGATCTCGTTATATTATGTATATTCTATAATAGAAAAACAATATTCAAATCTATTAAGATAAAAAAAAAAAAAATTGACAAACTCAACCTTTTTTTTTTTTATCTGAAAGCTGAGATCAAGCCCAAATAATAATGCGTTTGTTGTTGTACACAATTCGGCATGTGCTAACGGCTATTTATATATGACTTGTCAATCTAAGTCATCGTGACTCTTAATATCAGTGTATTTTTGGCAGGGAGGACTGGCGTCATATATAAATATATAAATATATTTAACACTGAAATTAAATAATAAATATTGACCATCATTTTAAGTATTTATGCACCTTGTTTTCTATAAACCTTTATTTATTATTTCTGTATATTTTTGTGTTAGAAGAGTTATATTCACTAGAATCAGAAAATATTATTTAGAGATGTTATATTTATATATTGAAAACTCTAACTAATTTAAAAAAAAATGTTATAGATATCATAATTGTATCAAAATTCTCGATACATGTTAAAAGAAAAGAAATTTTAATTCATTAACTTTTAAAAGATATTATACAAAAATGTTTTATTTTCAAAGAATTTTGTCTAATTTCTTGAAAGAATTTCAAATGATATTATAATTTTATTGCAATCCTAAATATTATTCTAATTATAATATTATAATTTTTAATATTTGTTTGATTATAATATTACAAAATATTGCAAAATATTACATTAATAGTTTAGTTAAATAAACCCAAATCAACCGTATTTTGGCTGCTTTTTGTTTCTAATGCATTAAAATGGAGAAAAACTAGATTTAAAATGAATAGCTAAAAATAAATAAAAGACTTCCCAATGATTATAGACAACAAAATATTATATAGCAATTAGGAATATTATTTTTTTAAAAGTACATTTATAATAAATATTACATTTATATAATTAATAAAATAAATAATTATTATATCACTAAATAATCAATTAATAAACAATAATTTAACTAAATATTATTCAAAGTCACACCCAATAAACTTAAACCAAAAAACTCAAAATTCTAAAGCTTTCTTATTGCTGCTAAGGCAAGGCCTCATTAAACAGCAATTAGGTATACTATTACTAACTGTTAATGTTTGTACTGTCGGCTAAAGCAATGCAAGGGGGGAATACTGACTCACCTTCGTTGGCGATTGGCGCTGGAAGTAAATTAAGTGCTTTATTAAAAACTCAACAGTCTTAAAAATTCGGAAAGCCAAACTCTTTTTTTTTTTTTTTATGGTATGTTTTATAAGATTATTATAATAATATAATTATCAAGGTGATTTTATCATAATTCGAAATTATTTTATTTGGTTAATAAACATTAATTTAAAATAAAATATTATTTTATTTAAAAGTATGAAAATAATTATACATATTATAATGTTATATAAAATGATGATTTTAATATTGTTTAAAGATAATAATTTATAAAATATTAGTAATATTTTATATTTTATGATAAAATATAATTAAATTAATAAATATATTTTTTGATAGATAAATTATTTTTTATAATATAAATTATGTAAAAAATATTTGAATTAAAAAATAAAATTAATCTATTAAATTCATAATAAAAGAAAAATGAAAGGATTATATTATATATAAATATTAAAATAAGAAAAAAAAATTATTTTTGAACTTGCTTCAATAAATGACAACATTTCACCTACAATTATTGTAGTAAAAAAATTAATCAATCACAATTTAAAATTATGTGAGATTTCTAAAAAATTTATGTGAAGTCCATAGTAACAAGTGGTGGACTCCTACACAATTATTTATTGTGATTATATAATTATAGTATTTAAGTAAAAATAATTATAGGTGATAAGCTCCTATAATAAGTATTAGTTAGAATATATAAAAAATTATAATTATAAAATAATCACAATTTTAAGAGAAAACAATTTTTAAATGAATAATATTGATTATTATTAATTTTACATATTCATTTAGATAAGAAAAGTTTTTCATAAGAATTAAATCATCATCCCAAATAATAATTTAATCATACTTATTCATTCAAGATCATTGTCAACTAAGATCCTTTCAAACATAATAATCTAATTACCATATATAAATCACATGATTTTTGGAGTGATTACAAATACTAAACACTACCTAAGAGATAAAATCTTTCTAAAAAATTATACAAGCTGATCCAATGCTTCAAGTTCATCACCCCCGGAAAAGAATGATAACAGGAGCATCAAATAATAATGTTCATAAACAGTTGGTTCAAAAGTATTTCTTTTTTCTTTTATTCAGATTTTGAGTCGTTCTGTCAATCATATTCCTAATCTTTTAAGCGACAACTAATATATATATATATATATATATATATATATAAAAATGAATTTCCTGAAATTATATACCAAGACAATGTATTATTTTGACAATAAATGAGAAGATCAATGAACTCCTTTACAAATATTAAACGATGTAGTGTTTTGGGCAATGCCCCTTCTGTCATCTATGATAAACATAAAAAATTAAAAGAAAGAGAGAAAAAAAGAGGTGCCCAAAAAATATCTCGTTTAGAACGCAGCAGTTTTGAGCTCGTCTTCAAGAATCTCCTCTAGCAGTAACTGGGACTCTTCCATCAATCCAGGGCTTAATCTGAACATTAATACACAAAATTCCATTTCATTGAGAGCCCCATCACCATCGAGATCACCTTCTCTCACCATGCTTACAAGCTCATCGTCTCTTAAATCTTGCAACCCCAGCATTGCCGCATTCCTCTTTAAGCTCTCCACAGTGATGACCCCTTTGTCTTTGTCCATCAGCAGCTTGAACCCGTTACACAGCTCCCTCATCAGCCCTTCTCCGCCCAGCTTCTCAGCCATCGCTGGCAATAAATCCTCGAAATCAGGAGCTGTTTTACCAATCCCTGCCATTAATCCTTGGATGGATTATGAAGCTTGCAGACTAATGACTATGATTTCTTCAAAGGATGTTCTTGTATTTTGAGATGTATTGGGTATTTTAAGCAGGCACTATATATAGGAGGGAGAAGATCAGGTAAAGAGGTTTTTCTTGGAAAGAGGATGGGTTATGTTTTCCCTATGTATGACAGCTAAGGAACACATAACTTTACCATGGGTAGGCTTTCATTCTTGCAGAGCTGGAACTCCCTCCGTTTCGGAGAAGTTGTTATCAAGGGTACTTTTTAAATATTTTTGGAATTTTTAATGTTTGCTCTGTCTGCTTTTGAATTGAGATACAATCTTAGAGGGCAAAATAGTTTCATCAAGGGTAATTGTTGTAATTTAGGTTAAAGCTTCTTTGGCTATGTGAACCTCCTGAGGGTCCGATTTGGCTTTTTGGTTTGACTTTTGTCATATGGATGGAGGGTTGGTTTGTCAGTTGCAAGAATTGACTTCGTTCTCATACAATCCAAGCGAAAGATGGATGAACTTCTTTTCTATTTTTCTTGGAAAATTGATTGTAAATTGCAATTGAGAAAATACCCAATTCTTTGTCAAATCAAGAATGCATGGGAAAAATTTTATTGTTCATCTTCCTCGACAGACAATCAACAATAGAGGTGAATTCGAATTATATATATATATATATATATATATATATAAATGGATTAAATATTGGAATGTTTGAAGTTGTGGTGGCGGTACTGCGGTCAGAAAGCTTGTCGTGCCTTTTTATCCAAACCAAACTTTCCTTCGAGGAACTTTCATTTTCTTTTCCCTATTCATTTTTTTCTTTCTCGAGAAGAAAGCAAATGATAAATTGCTTTTGTTCTTCAAGAAAACTATTTCGCGTTTTGATTTTTATGGATTTTTCTAAGCAAATTGCTAAAAACAACCAAAATATCATAAAGTTACAGCTGTGTAAAGTTGGTGAACATAAAACGTGAGCTAAGCACAAATTCATTTTAGATTTTTAAGTTTTTATTAGTTTTGCATTAATTAAATAATTATTTATTATTTTATTTAAATTTAATTTTTAAATTGAACAAAAATTAATTAACTGTTATGTCTGAATAATTATGTCTATTCAACTGAAAAGTTTAATTTGGATAGACAAGTATATCATTATAAATAGTTAGTTTTGTGTGTATATACATTTATATCTTTACAAATAAACAAATATTTATTTTATATTATAAAACTAATTGTTTGATTTTCTGAAAAGAAAAAAAAAAAGATACACAAGCAATTTATATGAACATTCCATCCTCCTCTAAATAACTCTTGCATTTCTTCTTTAATATTTTACTGTAAAATTTTTTATAAAAGTTTGATGTTCTCATTATACTTCAATGAATACTCAATGAATTAATTTCATTATTACAAAACTTAATCAATCACTAAATCTTATTATATTTACGAGATTTTTTAGATATCTAATAAATAAATAATATGATGGAGGCAATGAAATCTTACAAATAATAATATTATTATACGCCTTGAAACATTTTTTTAAATATCAGATTTTCCAAAAATTGTTCTTATAATTTGAAGATCCAAAAGTAGATGTAAGAGTTAAAAGAATTGGGACAGAAACGTAAACCAAATTGTTAGCGCACGCAGAACAATTCCCACCACAGTAATTCAATGATCTACAATATTGGAAATCCTTTGGAACATTCCTTAATTCATAAAAAGCAAAGTATCCGATATTGCAAAAGCTTTCACATTTCCGTCAGACAAAGTAAAGCTTGTGTGAATGCATATAACATTGAAATTTTGTCAACAAAAATAAAAATGGTAGAAGCAAACGCATGACAATTGATGATTCCTTTTTAGGGAAGGCAAAGAGAGGAAATACTGACTTAAGAAAAACTAGGAAAGTAGCACGAATAATCCCCCCCTTTTTCTGCCAACTTATACGTGTGTAGACGCGTTTAAGCTAAATTGCTAACGCCTGTGTCACCGTCTTTTTTGTAATAAACAAAGTTAACGCGACAAAATTTATATAAAATTTATAAAGTTTTTCAAAAAAATAATTTAATTAAAAATTTAAATCAATAAATTGATAGAATTTAATATAAAAAATTATTAAAAATATTATTTATAATTCTAATTTGATCAATATTTATTCAACAATAAATATTTTATTATTATTATTTGTTAAAAATATCTATTTAAAAATATATATCAAATTTTATTAAAAATTTTTTGAAATTTTATATACTTAATTTATATAACGAAATTTTTATTTTTGAATTTTTATTTAATTATTTTTAATAAAAAATTTCATAAATTTTATTTGATGCAAGTCTTTTCCGCGCAAATGGTGCTCACCTTATTGGTGGAGGGAGTTCCTTTTCAGACTTCTTAGTCGTCATTTTACAACTTTGATGTATATTTTAAAATTTAATAGTCTGAAAGAAGTTTCTATTTGGAAGATGTGAATTTAGAATTATTCACAACATTTCCTATCTGATTGTCTTTTTGTTTCTAATTTCCGATGCTTTTTAAATTTAAAATACAACACAGCCCAGCAAGAAGCTTCTCATTTACGATTTAAAGATTAAAGAATTTGTCCCTAGTTGTAAGCTTAGCGAGAAATGAACGAATTGATAGGCCGTAAGCTGACCAAAATTGAGATTCCGCTTTAAGTTTTGAAGTCTTTGTATGCGGTGTCCCTGACCAAAATATATATTTTTTAAAAATTGTTGGAACCAGCTAACTTGGGTATTGAAAGTCAAAACCCATCCTGCGAGATCACTCTCCCTACGTTTAAGAATATTTGGACGAGTGGTGAAATTTATTTTATTGAAATTAAAATTAATAATTATAGATAACAATAGTTATTATAATGATAAAATTAAAATCAATAACATAATATATGTTTGAATGTAAATACAATGATATTGATAAGATGAAATGTAATGAGTAAAAATATAATCATTGAGGATATTCAATTAAAGTTTGTATGTAATGAAAATTTTAAAATATTTATCATTTATGAAGTTAATATATAATTAAAAAAAACCAAAATTATTTTTATATCAAATAAAAACTTTTTAATAAATAAAAATAATAGTGATATATCAAATAATTATTTTTTTAGAAAAATTGATACTAATATATTTACATAAAATGAATCTTCAAAAAGAAGTGTTTAATTATTTATTTTTTATATTTATTTATATGATAATTTTTATATAAAAATAATTATTATTTCAAAAGATAATAATATATTTATCATATAAAAAATAATTAATATTTATTGTCTTTCTCATTTATGTAAATATTTATTTTAGTTTACTCATATTGATTACAAAGATATTTGTTTTTATTTATTAATTTTTTATTTGATTATAAAATTTATTATTTTTTTATTTATTCCATTTTAATTATTTAATAATTATATTTTATTATATAATTATAAAAAAATTTACTGTATTAAATTAATAAAATATAATCATAATTATAGTTATAATTATAATTATACAACGGAGAAGAAAAGCTACATACATTAAAGCAGCGGCTTTTCTGAAAAGGTAAGAACGATGGAAGTGGGTTTTTCCATTCGAACACAAGGTTCCAGTAAAATTTTAGTTACAGTGCAGTGAAAATCGGTTTTGTCTGAGATATGTATCATATAAACTGAACTAAAAGTTGTGTTCTTTTTGTGCCTCTAAAAAGAAACAAAAATCAAAGGGTTTTTTTTTTATTTATTTATTTTTAAATAGGCCATCCCCTTTCTTAAAATAAAACAATCTTAACTTATAAGTTGGAAATTTTTTCATGTCAAAAAAATTGATAAAATCAATCCAAAAAATAAATTTATATATGCCGTATCAATTTATCATCTCCTTGTGTGTTAATTTTTATAATTTAATAAATAGAAATGAAAGACATGAAGGAAACAGAATTTTTAAGTTCAAAAACCACATGGAATGAAACATTATGGGTATGAATTTTCATTGTTTCAGATACAACTACCAAGTAAAGATGTCTACAAAAATTAACAATAAAATATGAATTAACAATTAGAAAATTTATCAAATATACTGATAACGATATATTTTTTTTAATTTCACAAGTGAGATTAGATGGTAACATTTATTTTTTTAATATATATTTAAAAATAAAAAATATTTAAAATAAAATATGTATCATTATTTTAATTTTGTTTGTGAAATTAAAAAATCTCACAACTAATTAATAATTTCTCTAATAACTAAAACATCTTGAACATAAATTAATAGGTTTTTTTCTTTTTTCAACACATTTAAACTACCCACGTAACTTTAAACGTATCTCAAATACACATGTCAACTTAATAAATATTATATTTAATTTAATTCAAATAATAAAAAGAAAAAAATTAATGACAAGTAATGGATTTTATAAATAGATTATTTGTTTTATAAACCATCAACAAGTAAGGGAGAAAAAGGAAGAAAAGAAGGACGTTTTCGCTTTTGTAATTTAGGATGGTAGGAAACGCGTGGGCTTATTATGCGATTTGTTGTGTTTCTATTGTAGTATAACGAGAAACACATGAAAATATTATAATGAAATTGTATGTGATTGTAACAAATTTTCATTGAATTTTATTTTGGTGTCCTTTTTTTTTGTTTTGAAAATTTTTCACATAAAATCTTGTGTTGTTATTTTTCATTTTTTGTTGGTATTGATATTTTCTGTGAAAATAGATTCAAGTGGTGAGGGATTCAATGCTACTAAAGGAATTCAAGACTATTCAAGTATATCATATTGTTTATGCATTGTGTTGTTATTTTTCATATTTCTTGTTAATGTTTGATATTTTCTATGAAACTAGATTTCGATGTGAGGGATTCATAACTATTCAAGTATATTAATATTGTTTATGTATACGAAAATGATGTTAGTTTTCATGTAAATTCTTGATAACAAAGTGATGAATTTGACATTATTTTTTATGCACCAAATTAATAACTAAAAAGTAAAAATAATTTTTAAAGAAAACTCAATCTTTAAGATTTTATTCAAATCAATTGTACTTTATAACAATTATAAGTTGGCCTTCACATAAAGTAATCAATTCTTAAGTGATGATGATTGTTGGTGTCAAGCTTCGAACTGAGAGATAAAACTCTGAAATTAGAAGATAAAAAGAGCAATTAAGAGCAAATGGAAGAAGTATTCTCTGTGTTTGCACTATGATACTCAAGTTAGAAGTCAATTATGGAAGGTCAAAAGGAGAATAAAAGGTACAGAAAAGAGAAGAAAAAGTAGGATGATTAGATAGTACTTGGATGGACCTTATTTATAGATAAAAAGTGAGGGGTTTATAGGGTAAATAGGTGACATGGTTAAGCTGATGTGACACTATACATGTTAGGTCGACCTAAAAGTCAAAAATGCTTTTGGCTGTTTACTGATAGTCTCTAATAAGAGAAAAGATCATTTTACCCTTTGGACCTAAAAATACCCCTAATAATTTATCCCCTCATCGAGCAATTTGAGTATTAGACTATAGAGTGTAAAATTTAGCCGATTGGGTATATGTCAACCTATATGTGCTCGACGATGCCAAGCTTGACCTTGCACATGGGTTTTGAATTATA